AGGCACTACTAGGTTTGTGAGATAATTCAATTATTATTAATCAAAATGAAATAGGGAAAAAAGTTCTTTTTTAACACACCCCTGAAGGAACGAAAATGTCGAGTTATTGTTGTTACAAATAATAATGATTGCTTTAAACTGACAGGTATTTACGTTTTTGTAACACCACTGTCTTTTAGTTTACTATGAGATTATCGCTTAGTGATTATTAATGGACACTTTTCTTATATCCACCTAAAACACGAACATATGAAGCCATACAAAAAAATATGAGTGCAATTAATTACTCTTTTTATTTTATTACGTACTTGTTTTATTTGAATTGATTTACTCAGTATTATTATTAACTTTGTATTACCCCATAATATTTGTCAATATAAACACTTTTTTCTTTTTGTATATATACATAAATCGTAGATGCATATAGTGACAGTGCTTATGTTTATAAAAAATTATTGTCTTTTGATGCTTTCATTAAAAAATATGTGAACTCCTTCAACTGTTTCTTATTAACAGCAAATTAAAACATTAAAACAACAGTAAATCGCATCCCAATAGACTTTTACCCGATTTAGAATACTTCAACATTTTAAAGTGTTTCTATTACCGAATCTATGATTTATAAGTACTACTACTACAAATTAGTATTTTAAAATATGTTCAAAACATGTCTAAATAATTATCTTTCAGGTGCTTGCTCTTACTCTAGTCAAAACATAATTTAAAAATTGTTTTCAAAGTTTTAATCATTTTGGCTACTTCCTAGTGGGCTAGGTGTGAGATATCTGACGGATCTGATGTGACGACGATGTTATAGATACAATATGGCGGATTCCCCAATATGGTGAATTGCTTTTATTTAGTCAACCCCCTTGTCACGTGTAGGCAACCCACTATACCCAAAAGAAGCGTTAAGTGGCCTATACTTGGTTACCTAGGTTGCGCTAGTAATCTCTTTCCAGAATCAGCGCAATCCTTAGATATTATATCTATGACGCAATCACGGAAACCCAGTAAGTATAATAGGCCACCTGACGTTTCTTTGGGTATGGCGGGTTATCTACATGTTACAATACATTAAATTGGNATTTTGCAACGGCTTTTACCATACACTGAGTACACAGAAAGTCTCGTGTGTAGGAAAGGAATTGTTGGTTAGTAGAAGCAACATTCTATTAACAAATATCCTGCTATTATTTGTTTTTTCTTATGTTTAATAAGGTATGATACGAAACTGTTGTTTTGAAACGGACTTTCATAAATGGCTTTTGAGTGAGAATGTGGACATTTTACCCAGACTTCTGTTACCTTTAGCGGACGGTACAGAATTTGATGAAGAGGATAATGATAAATTACCCATTGATTTACAATATCTTGCTGAAGATAAACAAAGGGATGAAGATCCTGAAATAAGGTAGATATTTTAGTTAGGAGTTAATCTTTAATATGACTGGTTGAAAACAATTATTGTTATTTTCAACCAGTAGCAGTTTTCCTTATTGTCATACAATGACTACTAAAATTATTATAGTATATATTTCAAAATTACAATACAATTCAATTACGTATTTATTTATTAAATTAAACAAAATAAGGAGGGAAGAGAAATTAAAAGAGATGAATGAGGTAAAGCAAAACATTTAAACAGTTTTTCAGCACAGCTTGATATAAGAAAAATATCAAGTTTTTATTTTATTCTTTCTCAACTTATATTTGATGATTCTAAAGCATCAATTACTCTTTTAGGTTAAAAGCCCAAACTGTTACAATTTTGCAAGTGCTCTAAAAATCCTTCTGAATTGAGGATTACATATAATAATTCTTTAACAATACTAATTCCTGAACTTTCGCTGAGGTTTAGTAACGTCTCAACACTCTTCTCTTCTAATACATTTATTAATGTTAATGTAACTGTGCTTCTTATTTTTCTTATTTTAAGCAATTTTGCTACGGCTAATAACAAATTTAACTGCTTTATAAGAACTTTTGAATCTTCTTTATGAGACGTTACAGCTAAAAAATTATTTTAATATACCATTCGCTATTAATTAGTATCATTAGTATCTGCGGATTTTTATACATAAAATGCAGTTAATCAACTCATATTGTAAACTTTAATTTACTTTAAACATTAATTTTTGGAACCCATCTAGTTATTACTTACGATAAACTTAAATCAAAATATATTAAACTACACATCGTAATAAATACATAATAAATGCAAACCATTTTATAACCACACAACAATTAACGTTTAAAATACACCACAGATAATGTTTTTAGAGGTTATGGTTATATAACTATTATCTATGGTTATATAACCACAATAGAACCATTAATAGAAACATTAGTAATAAAAGTTACTACCATAGAGACGAATAATTTTCAGAATGAGTTTAACCGTCAAACCGAAGGAGTCACGAATATAACCGAACGTTGAATGAATTTAAGAAAATGAACACTCAAAATAAAAACAAAACTTGAGGCAACCATAGCTTACTAAATTTAGTCTACTAAATCACTGGTTGCGCTAAATTCTTTTTTTCATTTTGAGTATCTTGCCACTTCTTTTAAAATTATTCAGCGTTCGGATATATTCGGAACTCACCTAAGTGTTCCGTCTAAACTCTTGTGACAATTGTTCTCTGTGAATTACAACCTTGGTGAATTTGTGTATCTATTAGCTACAGTAAATAAATATGTACCATTGAAGTGGAGGGGAACACCATAGACATATATTAATGAACGTGCCTTAACCGTATGTCGTTGTAATAATTTCTTGGCTCGAAAAGTGAGGGAAATGGCGTATGGTTTCGGACTAGTGCTATCTCTTGACACGCTTACGCACTATCGTGAGAGAGATAGATATTGTCCGAAACTTCGTTCCATCTCTTTCTTTTGTTGTATCACAATTCTGACGGCTAAGGCATGTCCATTAGTAAACGTCGATGGGAACACCATCGACGTTTACTAATTGTATATCTATGGGGAACACTGTGCCTGTATCTGTGGTCTAGCTCAATGATATCTACCAATTTTTCTATTGTAATAATTATCTATGGTAATAATATAACCTGTAAAATAGTCTAGTTAAATATTAAAATCACCTGCATGATTTATTTATTTCAGCATGAATAAGTATATTAACTGAACTAAATGCATTTATTACGGTGTGCAATTTGTTAAAATATATTTCAATTTGAGTTTATCACAGTTTATCGTAAGCAATGAGTACCAAAAAATTAATGTTTGGGTTAGAAGACATAGTAGGTAGGTTTATAATTTAATTTATTATTTGTTTATCCATCAAAATACTTGCCTAAAGCAATTAATGATAGAAAAAGATATATTATATGTATTTTTCAGCGGTAACGTCACACAAAGAAGGTTTAGAAGCTCTTATAAAGCAGCCAAATTTGTTATTTGTCATAGCAAAATTACTTAAAGATAAGCAGAATAAGAAGCACAATCTAGTTATTTTAATATTAATAAATGTATCAGCAGAAGAGAAGGGTGCTGAAGCGTTACTAAACCTCAGAGAAAGTTCAGGGCTTTGCATTTGCAAGGAATTATTTGATTTCATTCTGAATTCAGAAGAAGGACTTTCAAATAACTGTTGCAAAGTTCTAACCAACCTTAGTCATTACGAGTATTTAACAGAAAGAGTAATTGATGCTTTAGAATTATCAAATATAAGTTTAGATAAAACAGCAGCTGTTTTTACTA